CACATCAGAAAAGCTCCAGCTCTGGGGTGTAGAATAATTAGGGGCCCTGCGAGCCTCAAATATCTCATTGCCAGAACCACCAAGGCAGTTTTACTCACAGCCAGGCACTGCTGGCTTTTCCATAGGGAAAGGTTAACTAAGTGATTTCATGTAAATCTTCCACAGCTCAGAGGTATTTACTTTGTTTGCAAAGTCCTGTTGCTGCTGGGTTTGTGCCACCCGTTTGTGTCAGGCACAGGCAGAGCACAATAAGAGGTCTCCCTTAAATTTGGTGCTGTGGCTGCTGAGATAAGCAGGGAAAAGTCAGTTAGTGATCAGATTTGAGGATGTTTTCTTAAAAGTGTTCACCAGTGGGCTAGATAGTGAAGTCAGGCAAAGGTGAGGCATTTCAGGCAAAATATAAGTGACATTTAATGGAGGAAACAAAGCATTAATGCAGGAAATCAGAGAAGAAGGAGTTTGTCCAAACCTGTCTTGACTAGCAATGGACTTTCTAGAGTCCAGTGTGCTCCCTGCAATAGCCACAGAGAGCAAGTAACACAAAATCTTGCTTTTCCCCAGGGAAAAGTAATAGTGGTATTGTCATGTCTGAGAGAAAACAGCACAGGAAGGAAAGGTTAATGGTTTTGGTAGAGTTCCCTGCTGAATGTGGCTTATAGCCACTGTGGGCAAGGGGCAGGCAGAGCACCTCTCTACTGCAGCCCAAAGAGGGACTGTGATTTCCTAATACTCTGCTAGTATTAGTATTATACTCTGCCAATCATCCAAAAGGATGATTCCTTGGTGCTGTTGGAATTATGTCCTCACTGCTAGGCTAAAGCTAGAAGTAAACCTGTAATCACAGGAAGGTTTGGATTGGAAGAGACCTGAAAGATCACCCAGTTCTACCCCCTGTCTTGGGCAGGGACACCTTCCACTAGCCCAGGTTGCTCCAAGCCCCATCCAGTCTGGCCTGGGACAGTCACAGGCATGGAACAGCCACAGCTGCTCTGGGATACTGCATCCAGTGCCTCACACCCTCAGAGGGAAGAATTCCTTCCCAATATCCCATCTGTCCCTGCCTTCTGGCAGTGGGAAGCCATTTTCTGTGTCCTGTCCCTCCATCCCTTGTCCCAGGTCTCTCTGCAGCTCTCTTGGAGCCCCTTTAGGCACTGAAAGGGGCTTTAAGGTCTCCCTGGAGCTTCTCTTCTCCAGTCTGAACTCCCTCAGCTCTCCCAGCCTGGCTCCATGGCACAGGTTCTCCAGTCCTTGGAGCATCTTCATGCTCCACCTCTCCTAATGTTGTATGCTGAGCACCTCTACAAAGCAGGAGTAGATACAGAATGACTTATCTCCATTCCTGAAGGCACTCAGTGCTGGGTATGAGGAGAGAACAAGCTGACCTTGGCAACACAGCCCAGAGAGGAGGTGGAAGGAGGGTACTGGTTCAGGGCACCCACCTGGCTGCAGGTCTCAGGGACCTGCAGGAGAGGAATAAGGTGGCCACACACTGTTCTGGCAGGACACGTCAAAGCTTTTGGTAGATTGCCCTTCACAACTCCCTGACAGGAAGGTGCAGCCAAGTGGGGATTGGTCTCTTTTCCCAGGTAACAAGTGACAGGATGAGACAAAACAGCCTCAGGTTGTACCAGGGGAGATTTAGACTGGATATTAGGGAAAAACTTCTTCACTGAAAGGGTGATCAGGCCCTGGCACAGCTGCCTAAGGCAGTGGTGAAGTCACCACCCCTGGAGGGATTTAAGAGCTGTGTGGATGTGGCACTTGGGGACATGGTCAGTGGTGGCCTTGGCAGTGCTGGGGGAACAGCTGATGATCTTGGAGGACTTTTCCAACCTCAGTGACACTGTGATCAATGACAAGACTTCACAGATTTTTACAAAGCCCTTTATTTTTTTGTCTTAAGGCTTATAAAAACTGTTACTCAAACCCAACATGTTTTAAAGCTTTACATATGTACAATATGAGAAATAAATTATGTCTTAAGTCATACAAAAACCACAATATACAAATAGGGCTCTGAAACCGCTTTCAGTATGGCACGGTGACAAGTCACAGATACTCACCAAAGGCTTCAGTTATTGAAGCCTTTGAATAACACCATGGAAAATAAAACTATCCCCAAATACGCTTGCTTTGGTTGGATTGAAGCTCTGCAAAACCTCAAGAGATTTGCAGGCCTCAGAAGGACTTGCTAAGTCTTCAGAACCCAGTGCACCACCTGTCAACACCATTTTGTGAGACTGCCTTTTGCATGCCAAAAGCTCAAGCGTAGTTACACCAATTCTCCTTACAGAAAGAGACAAGAAAAGGGAAAAATAAACCCAAACCAAAACAAAACCTAGTTCACCTCTGATAAAATCCACTCTGCTGCAGCAAACAAGTGTAGGGTCTATCAAACTCAGAGCAAAGCCAAGATCACCTAGCACCAGAGAATTCAACTTGGATGTTGTGGCAACGAGGGCCGGAGGTTCTCTGCTTTGCTCTTTTAAGTACTTGATTCAAAAATAAGGTTTTAATTACGCATTGGTACTACAGCAGGATCCGAGCAGAGGGGAACACATTCTCAGTAGTCAAAAGGACTGGTGCAAAGCTCTCCTGAGGCAGCAGGTTCATCACCTCCCTCCATCCCTGTGGTCAGCAGGGCAGCTGCTCTTTGGCTCTTACAAAATGATCCACATGTAGGACTGGGCAGCCTCACTGTGGGCACTGACCAGGGAGTGAGGAGCAGCTGCTACCACCACCATCCACCTGCACCATGTTCGGCCCCAGGGATGACAGAGCACCACCTTCTTATCAGGTAATATAGAGAGAGTTCAGTATCAGCTACACATAGAATGGATTACTTTTAAGGCAAGCAAAGAACAACTTGAAGTTAAGTGGCATTGTGCTTATTCCCACCCCTTCCCTGTACAATCCCCACAAGCTTGACCTGTGCTGCTCTCACCTTCCCACAGCCCTTAGTGCTACTGGACCCATAGTAACTCCTACACTAGGTGATAATTTGTTCTTAGCAGCTCTGTCATCAGATGGGCAGTGGTTGCTTATCTTCTCAACTCCACTGGCAGGCAGACCAGAAAATCATTGTTGAGGTCTTGATCTGTGAAGATCTCATCCATAATCCTGGTTAATGGGAGCAGGGCAGGGAAAATGCAGCGTGTAACAGGTCAAGGTAAAGTTAAATGCACAAACCAGGCTGATCAGGGAAGGGAGAATGGAGTTTCAGTTACTCTAGGTCTAGGACCACAGTCCATCAATAGCTCCTCAGTTTCTTTTATCCAATCCAAGCTGTTTTGTCCTGAAGAGCTAGTTGCTTTAAGTGCTACCAAGCCAGACTTTTTCCCAGAGCATCTTGCCACGTGCGTGGTCTTCATGCATCTAGGTTGCTTGGTTTTGAGTCTTTAGAGAGGTCTTCAGAGCTGATTTGAGACTGACCTGGGAAAAGCAGAGAGGGGGAAAAAAAATCTAGTTAAATGCAGAAGTGAAGAGGAGTAATAAAGCATTCCTAGGAAACTCAGGGATGCTAGGAACAGGTTTGGACAGTACAGGTTGGTGTTTCATTCTGCCAAAGCAGCACTTTGCCCAGTAGCTGCTCAGTGAGAGCCTGGAGCTGACATTATGTAGGCTGCAAACAGAAATTACAGGGCTTGAGCTGCACTCTGCCTGCAGCAGCTCCATTCGGAGCAGACAGATGTTTGCAGCCTCAGTTTCCAAGGAGGGAGCTATAATACTCCACTGACTTGGAAGAACAGAAAGTGATTGCTTGTAATTACTGGAAGGATCATTTCCTAGAAAAAAATGGTTTGTTGGAGCTGAGCTCAGCTCCTCTGCCTCGTGCACAAGCTCCACTCCGCGTGCATGAGCTGCAAGCAGGAAGGGCACATCTGCCAGCAATTCTATTTTATGGGGGTTACCCAACAGCGTATCAGAACAGCCTTTTATTGTACCTGCAGGAATGTTTACTTGATCTTTCAAGGCTAGTGGCAGAGCAACAAGGTGTTTTTGCACAGGGGTTTCATTCACAGAACTGTTTGCTACCGTCTGTAGCACAGCTTGATGGTCTCTGCCAAACCTGGAACGGGACCAGCTCACATTTCTGAGCTGAGCTCTGCTGCCCAGGAGGGTTGTGCAAAGCTCCACTTCCACTAGGCTCTGCTAGCCCTAACTAGCACTTTGTCCTCTGGATTAGGAGTGACAAAGCTCTAAGTCTACAAACTGAAATTTTAAGAGAGGGCAAAAGGCTGAGCTTCACCCAAAGGAGACTGTCACTCAATCAATGAGCAAAGATTCATTCAAAACATGGCCAGAGGCAACTGAGGCAATCAGGCTGGGACCAGAATTTCTGGAAGTCATGCTCTGGAGACTGGTCTAGGCGTCTGGGAAGTCCCTCAGAGGTTAAGCAAGGACAAGATGCTTTGGCAACAGCTGAGTTTGCACTCTCCAATCCAGAGGAGATCAGCATGGCTGGAGAGGAACCTGTAGGTGCTGTAACACCATGGCAAGTCCTTGGCTGTGTCTTGCTCATGCAGTTGAGCTCAAACTTTAATCAAGAGATTTCTTGGCAGCTCAAGGTCTTCTACCAGGCTGAGACAATCTTTGAGGCAATGCCCTGCACTCCTCCCAGCTTTCCCCTGTTTTACAGGGCAGCTAATAGATGCCTCCAGTTAACTTTCCACTATTGCACAGACCTGGGGGATTGGTAGCACCTCATCGTAGCATCTACCACAATTAGGAACAAGGATTGTGTTACACCCATTTGGTAGCAAACATATAAAGGTGCAAGGTGACAATCCAAGGTCAGAAGTAAGGATGATATCACCCAGTTAGCAATAGTTATGTCATATATGAAAATAAAGCCTAATAGCTGTGAACCTTGGGCTAGAATTTATTAGCTTTTTTGAAAGAAAAAGAGGTACCAGGAATCTAAAGAGAAAATGGCTCCACTCATCCCACAGCACAGCCACATGCATCAGGCAGGATTTCTCCTGGCTAATTTTCCGTACCTTTTTTGCCATTCCTCTGTGCACTTCACAAACCAGAGCTCTTTGCCAGGAGATATACGGGTTAGCTGGGAATCCTCCACACAGAAAGCAAACCTAGGAGGAGGAATCATAAGTCAAGATAAGGTATCTGTTATCTCCATGACTAACAAACAACATGCAATATGGTTTGCACCTAATTCCAGGACAAGTTGTCTGAGTTAACATCTGTCCTGTGGAACATCTTGATACACCGTTAGCCTGTTGAAGGGCTGTTTTATTTCCTACTTTGATATTTCATTTGGAGATCTTTGCTTCTACTACTCCTACATGCCATGGACTGCAGAAACCAGGATGCAGAACACCTTACAGTGGGTAGGTGATGGTTATTTAAGGCTCTGAGAAATATGGGAAATTGTCAAAGTCGACTTTCTTTGACAGATTTGGGTTACCTTCAGAACAACATTAACACAAGCTGTGGGAGTGCAGTGCTACATGCTTGGCAGCTTTAATACTTCTTGGATGCTCAGGTAGCTTTTCCAGTTGCAGAGATAGGACCATAGGCTCACAGAATGGTTTGGGTTGGAAGGGACCTTAAAGATCATCTAGTTCCAACCTCCCTGCCCTGAGTATGGACACCTCCCACTAGAATTCTGTGGTCTATTCTATGATCTATGGATATGGGTTTGGGTTGGAAAGGACCTTAAAGTGCATCTGTTTTCAACCCCCCTGCCAGATCTCACAAGGAGCAATACAGTGCTTAAGGAGTTGGTGTCACCATATCACACTTGTAGTTTAGGTCTAGCTTGTTGTGCTAAGTCAGTACATTATGCCTGTAAATAATAGCCATGACCACCTATGTTCCAGTATTTCTGGTGCTCAGTACTTTAACCCTGCAGGTATGATCTAAACCACCTTTAAGGAGGCTAATTTAGTCCTCCAGGGTATGTCACAGTTTCTAAATAAACCGAAAGAACGTCCCAGATCTGACCTGTGGTGACCAGTTTTCCTTAAACCTTAGTTTGCAGCCTCATGCTGGCCAACAACCTGCTCTCCTACACCACCAGGGAGCATTAGCTGGTGACACTAAAGATGAAAGACAGTTCAGGATACCAACTATGTTCAAAACTCCAACTTTTTTTGCTAGGTTCTGAATGTTTCTCCTCTTGGCTGAAGTTTTGAGACAGTTCACATGCAGCCCAGCACAGTAATTACCTCTGCTGTGTCTCCCCAGATTTCACACGTATTCGCCTGATGTGCAGCTCCTGGGAGGAATTCGCAGGCCGATACCAGTAGCTCCTTAGCTCTTTCCAGAGGTCATACCATGACTGAGATGTTCCCTCCCAGGTGAGCTTGATCTTCAGAAGTTCACCCATGTCCTCTTCAGTGTAGACCAGGAAGGTGTTGGTAGCGTTTAGTCCAATTAGATCAAGCCTGGAAGAGAAGCAGAGACTCAGTATTTCTTCCTCATGGAAGTGTGCCAGATGCTCATTTGCTCCATGCAAGAAGTTAAACAGAGCCCTTTGCATCTTATCAAGTGCTGCACGTTCAACTGTCACCAGTTAATTACTGATTGCACTACAGAAAGTGAGCCAGACAGCTGGTTCAATGCAATACATCAGACATTCAGCCCAGTCATCCTTCCATAGCTTAAAGGTGAATTTTATGCCTTGTGTTTCTTCTGGGAGAGGTGAAAGGAGGCCAGCAATGCCTCCAGAGATATGGGCACATTCAGACTGTATCCAGATGGAAGAGGGGAAAAGCAAAACGAAGTTTTTCAGTTGAAGCAATGAGCTAAGGAGGCTAATATTGAGAGGACTGTGCACACCAAATTGTTTCCTCAGCAATAAATTTTAATGAAGTTACTGGATGAAAAGTTTATTTGAGTGGTGATGAAGTGAGGCTGCTAGGCTGAGGTATGATGCTAGTGTTACCAGGGGGAAAAGAGTGCTGCCACCTTGCCTAGGCCTAGGGCTTTCCTTACTTAGGTAACACAGCAGTGCAGATTACTTACATTTCTAAGGAGAGAGGTTCAGAGTCTCCATTGGTGCCATAGAGAGTGACGGAGAAAGTGGGATCAACCTCTCCCAAGCTCTTGTAGCTGAAGACATGC